TCAGGTTTTCCATTGGCCTCTGTTGACACCTGAGATGGAGGGCAACTTCTTGTTACTGTGTGTGGGGACGGGAGTTCCAGCTCCCCACCTGGTTCCCATTGATTCTCCTGTGGAGGTGGCCTTGTCACTGGTGGGTGATGGTGAAAGTGCTTTCTCTGCACTAAGCCTTCTCTGATACCACCCCAGTGGGTGGGGCGTCGACATCTTATTACTACCAGGTGTGGGGTGGAAGTCCAGGCTCCCTGTGTGGTCTCTGCGGACACCATGGGTGCAGGGAGACTTCTTACTGGCCAGCAGGGATGAAATTCCTGGTTCCATACTTGGCCTTTTCTGATAGCACCCTGGTGGGATTGTTGGGTCCCTCAATACTGCCATGTGAGGGTGCAAGTCTACATGATCTGCTCAGCCTTTTCTGTCTTGCTAGGCTGCCCTGGTCTTTTGCTAGAGAAAGTGGGCTCTTTTTGTTGTAGTTTTTGTCCATGCTCAATAACTGTTGCCAGCTTTTTCAGCTCCAAGTCTGGCGTGCATGCATGAGGCAAAAAGGAAGCCCTGGGAACTGGCCGCTGTGTGGTTCCCTGCATCCCAGGGTCGCTAGTGAATCTGCTGTCTTTTCACCACCTTTCAAAGTCTTCTTATGTTTGTTTTATATAAAACATCCAGGGTTTTTAGTTTTACTTAGTTGAAGGAATGAGGAAAAGTACATCTACTCTTTCTTCCCAGAGAAATCCTTTTATAAAACTTTAATCATGCTTTTATTTTTCTGATTATAACAGTAGTACCGTTTCATTTTTAGAAGACCAGTATATGTAAAAAAAATTTTAGAAAGTTTAAATGACATAGAATGCTAGAGTTAACTAGCTAGAGTTAAGTACTTCTGGCTTCTTTCTAGTTAATATAAAAGGTATATATCATGTATATCTGTGTGTGTGCGTGTGTGTGCATATGTATATTTTTTTTAACAAATTGGAATCTAGTTAGAAATCAAGGTTTCTATTCAGTACTTTTTCCCTTTACGTTAATTGAATCATAAGCATTTCTTGATAGTGCAGAGATCCATCTGTTTAGTGGATACTGATTCACACATTGTGAATACGCTGTTACCAAGCTTCTGTTGTAAGCAGATCATTTAAGAGCATCAAGCTGGTTGCAGCAGGGTGGTGGGGAAGATGAGAGGTGGGGCGTGTGGGCCCCCAGGAGTTCATGCCTGCTGGGAGCCAGACCCTGGATGAGTCATCAGAACTACACAGTGGGGTAAAGTAGAAGGGCATATGCTCAAAACTGCCTGTAGTGGCAGGAATGACCTGATATGAGTGCAACAGGGAAGGGTTTTGTGAGGAAATTACGCTTTAGTTGAAAAGATTAGCTAGGCAGAGGATGGGGCTGGGTGGCAGGAGTGCTCTTGGCAGACGGACAGCACTTGCTAATTTTGTGAGGGGAAGGGTCCTTAATAACGCATGAATTCCAACCAGCTTCTAAGAGACCTGCCAGTAAACCTTTTTTATTAAACTTCAGGAAACAGGAGCGCCCATCCTGACTGATGACGTTAGCCTGCAGGTGTTCATGGACCATTTGAAGAAACTGGCTGTCTCCAGTGCCTGCTGAGCTGAAGACATGAGAAGGAAATGGAAGAAAGCACTGTCACACTGTGCTCACAGTTGTTTATAAAGGCTTAACGTTCCTTTTACCTTTCTGCTGCATTTTAATAAATAATCAAAAGCAGTGTTATGTAACTCTTTAGGTTTTAAATTGCTTGTATTCCTTATCTGTGCCCTTTTGTTTACACCATAAAATTGTAAGATCATAAACGTTTTGGTACCGGTAGATGTTTATATGCTTTTTGTATCCTAACTTTTAGAGTCTGTATAAAATCAGAGCTAGTATATTTTGGCAGCTTGCTTACATGAAAATCATAAAGATCAGAAAGGAAATAAATCTGGATGAAGAAGCGCTGGTTAAAATAATGCTGTAAATACAAATTGGATTTCTGCGGTCTCTGTGTTTGAAGTAAATTCCCCAAGAGGTGATTCCTGAACGTAATCTTCATTTACTGTCAAGGATATTGTTAATATTAACAGACAAGGAAAAGTAAGAAATATGTGAAGCTTTATTGAGGCAGAGTGGTCTGGAGTGGCACTGTTCCTGCCTCACCTGAGATACAGAGAACAGATTGCTGGTCACCAGAGGGGAAGGGGTGGGGGAGGGTGAAATGGGCGAAGGGGGTCAACTGGATGGTGGTGAGCACACTGTAGTGCATACAGAAGTGGAATATTAAAATGTACACATGAAACATATAATGTTATAAACCAATGTTACCTCAACTTAAGAAAAATGACAGCTTATTCTACTCAGTGGAGTTCATCCTTGTTTAGAGGTTATATCCCCTTTTAACATGGGCCAATTGCTAGGACAACTGTCATCCAGGAATTTCTTTTGTTTGGACTCCTAGAGTTTTCCTTTTATCTCATAAGTCATTTTGCTGCCTTAAGTGACTCTTCCTAAAAAGAGCATACAAGAGATAATTCACAGACCCTCTTCTGCCTTCATAGCTGACAGCTTTACTGAGTATAAAATCTAGGCCCAAAATAATTTGATCTCAGAACTTTGGAGGCATTTTTTCAATCATTCAACAGATAATTATTCAGTATTTGCTATGTTTGGAGTAGTCTTTAGGGCCTGGGAATGTAGCCAATAAAACAAAAATTCCTATTCTCACGGAGCTTATATTCTGGGTAGGGAAGACCAACATTAAAAAATTAGAAGTAAATTATATAATTTTTTAAGAAGCTAATGAGTGCTATGTAGAAAAGTAAAGCTGGGAACTCCTATTAATTGGCTGTCGGACCATCTGGATTGATTCCAATGCTCTATCTTTTGAATTTGTACTTACTGCCATCTTCACCTCTGCTCAAAATTCTGGGTGGGTTTCCTATCTTAAAATGTTTAACAATTACATTTTAAATGCCTAAGGCTTTTATTTACTGTACCTTTTCCATAGAATATTTTTCTCATATTTTGGGATATAATTTTGCATTGAGGTATATCATATAGAAGAGTAGATAAGTCTGTGTATCCAGTTTAGGGTTGAAACTGTTCCTCCTTGGACCTGTCTCCAATTGACAGGAGGAATGTGATAGGCCCAGCTGGCTCTGGTGTCTCTCCAGTGACAATGAGTGAAGGTGCCGAGGGGCACCCTGAGCCATGCAGGTCCCACCTGTGGGTGCTGGTGGCTGTTTCCAAAGAACGTGGAGGTGGGTGTTAGTGTTCTTTGGAGAGCAGCCATCTCGAGAGGGAGACACTGAGCCAGTGTACCTAGTAACTATAAGCTCCCATCTTGAAAGCAAGGAAACTCCTGAAATGATCAATTAGGAGAGTGGCAGCATGGATGGAAGGAGGCTGGAATCCAGCCGAGGCCTCAGCAGAGGCAGCTTTTAGACACAGGTGACAGATGAGGTGTTAGGTGAGAGGGTGAGTCAGGAAAGGTTTCTTTCCTGTTGGGGGCTGGGGCGCAGTAGGGGTAGGGATAAATTAAATCCTGGCCACTCTTGAGTTTCAGGAGCTTGTGGGGTAGAACTGAAAATGCCCTGTAGGTTGGCAGTAATTAGTATGCATTTATCTTTCAGGAGAATGTGGCGTATATTTGAGTCATAAATGTATAAAGTAAATAACATGAGTAAAGTTGCTCAGTATGAGAAGAGAAGCAAGCTTGGAACAGAATACTGATTTTCCTCTTTTGTTTTTAACAACCTTGTTGGGGTATAATTTATATACAATAAACTGCACCCATTTAAAGTGTACAGTTCAATGAGTTTCAATAGATGTGCACACCCATGAAAGCACCACCATCACATCACCATCAAGACACATTTCCACTGCCCCCAAAGTTTCTTCAGGCCCCTTTTAGTCCTTGCCTTTCTGCACACCCTGGTTGGAGGCAACTACTTGTCGGCTTTCTCCCACTATAGATGAATTTGCTTCCAGAATTTTATGTCTGGTTTCTTTTGTGCCTGGTTTCTTTCACTTAGCATTACCCATCTGAGATTTATCCATGGATCAGTACAGTAGTTCCTTTTATTATGGAGTGATAGACTCACATTTCCTTTATCCATCCACTACTTGATAGACATTTGGGTTGTTTCCATTTGGGGGCTCTTATGCTGATTTTTTTTTTTTTTTTTTTTGCGGTACGCGGGCCTCTCACTGTCGTGGCCTCTCCCGTTGCGGAGCACAGGCTCCGGACGCGCAGGCTCAGCGGCCATGGCCCACGGTCCCAGCCGCTCGGCGGCATGTGGGATCCTCCCGGACCGGGGCACGAACCCGCGTCCCCTGCATCGGCAGGCGGACTCTCAGCCACTGCTCCACCAGGGAAGCCCCTGGGGGTTCTTATGAATAAAGCTCTGTGAACACCCACATACGTACGTTTGTGTGGACATAATGTTTTCATTTGGGTGAATAGGAGCCGAACGTCTGATTCATACAGTAGGGGTACTTCAATTTTTAAGAAACTGCCAGTATCGCAAAGAGGTGGTATTTTATGTTCTCACCAGTAAGAGGTCTGATTGCTCCAAGTCCGTACAACCTTTGGTATTCTCAACATAATTTTTAGTCATTCTAATAGGTGTGTAAGCGTGTCTCGTGGTTTTAATTTGCATTGCTGTGATGACTAACAATGTCCCTGTACTTATTGGCCATTTGTATATCTTCTTTAGTTAAGTGATTGTTGCCTGTTTTTCAGTTCGGTTGTCTTTTTATAATTGAATTGTAAGATATCTTTATAAATTCTGATACAAGTCCTTTGTCAGATCTACCTACTTTGAATATTTTATCTTGTGGCTTGTTTCGTTTTCTTAACTGCCTTTCGAAGAGCAAAAGATTTAATTTTGAAAAAGTCCAGTTTACCAATATTTGTTTTGTGCTTTATGCTTTTTGTATTCTAAGAAATCTTTGCCTATCCCAAGATGGCAAAGATCGCCTTTTTAAAAAAATTTTTATTTTATATTGGATGTAGTTGATTTCCAATCGTTGTGTTAGAGCTTTTCTTCTCGGTTTGTAGTTTTAGCTTTTATATTTAAGCCTATGATCCATTTAGCGTTAATTTTTGTGTGTGGCAAAACACCAATTTTTAGAGGGTGGGAGAAATGGGAAGAGCCCTGAAGGATAAATAGATTCTGAAGAAAATTATGTTTTCGAAGCTATGAAAGGAGCAGGTGGAGTCTTTTGCGCTGGAAATCGTCTGATTATGGCTGCAAAGTAGTTAGTGGTTATGGAAGTTTACTGAGAATCCACTCTGTGCCCAACACATCCCTTTTGCTCTCAAGTTGTTTGGTTTCTTGGAGTGGGGGTAGATTATGCTTCGAAGAAATGTACGGATAAGAGAAAAGCTGATGGTGGATCGAGTGGAGACTTTTCGTTTTTGAGGCGCGGCCTCGTTTGTATGATGGAGTAAAGAACAACAGAATGAAAAGGGCGTGAGATGGAGGTGGACAGAATGTAGTTGCTGGGCCAGGGCCCTGAAAGGCAGAGAAGAATGAGACCCATAGCCCAGTGGAGGGGCTAATTCAGACGTGGAGGGACCCACGCGCACCAGACAGGGCTCCAGGCAGGAAGATGGGGAAGATGAGTTGCGGGGGCGTAGACGGGGTATCCTCGCAAACCTGAGAGCTGGAGGAGGGAAGGAATTAAGCTTTACAAGGGCCACCTAAAGCCTATGTAAGGCAGGACTTTGCAAGTGGGAGGTTTGCCTGAGAGAAAGTGTCACTGGGGCCCGTCACGTAGGAGGCAAGATAGTCTCCGGACCCCAGGCGGCGGACCCGAGTGCGTTGCCCAGCGCGACGTTCGGACCACACGCTCCAGGATGCATCGGGGCCGGCGCAGGAAGCGGCCAACCCGGAGCGGCTCCCCATTGGAGGCGGTGGCGGCGGTGACGCGCCCACCGGAAGGCCCGCCTCCGCCCTGAGACTCCGAGGAGTGAGGTATTCCCGGCGGCGTCATGCGTCCGGAAAAGGCCCTGACTTGGTACCGGCGCATGTCTATGCTGTACGGACTGGGCGCCTGGACCCTGCTGGGCTCCTTGTTTTTGTGGAATCGGAGAAAGAGCAAGCCGCCAGGTACGGCTCTCGGGCGGGACCTCCGGGGGACGCGCGGCCTTGCGTGGGGCGTGTCCGGGGGGTCGCAGAAGTGGCTTCGCTGTGCCGCGCGAAGAGACCGGGAGCGGTGCTTAGAGCCGCGCATTATCGTGGAATCTGCCAGCAACG